CCCGAGACAGGGTTTCTCTGTGTAGCTTTGGAACCTGTCCTGGATCTCACTTTGTAGACCAGGCTAGACTCGAACTCACAAAGATTCACCTGGCTCTGCCTCCCAAGTGCTGGGATTAAAGGCGTGCACCACCACCACCACCACCGCCCGGCAGTTTCCCTCTCTTTACTTTAGGCTAAGACAGAAAGTAGAGCAATAGGAACTGTTTTCGACACAGGTCAGGTTTCTCCTGTGTTCAGTTAATTGTTAATTCAAGAGTCTGAGCATTCGTTATTGTACCTGCTTTGCTCTGGTTCCAGGCTCCCCGCCCCCTTGCCTGAGGGCTCTCTCAGCTCGGAAAGTGTTGCTGACAGAGATGACAGCTGGCCTAGCCCAGACTAGAGTCCTGAGGCCGGAGGATGCACCGGTGTTGAACAACAAGCTAGTGTTAGGATCCTCTGTCTCCTGTCATCCTCATGGTGTAAAGTATTAGCTGTAGCACGCAACCCATCAGCTGCTCTGTGAGGGTGTGGATCCCATGTGACAGAGTCCCCGGAGAGAAAAATCCATTCGTCCAGCCTGGAGGAATACGCCACCCATGTTGACCTCAGAGTCCAGACAAGAATGGGGCATGTGAGGACTCGTGCTTTTATGTGGCTCATGGTTTTCCCTCCGGTTTCTTATAGCTCCATACACCATCATCACTTTCCCTTTTCTGTTTGCTGTGATGTTTGGAGATTTTGGGCACGGCATTTTGATGACCCTGTTTGCAGTGTGGATGGTGTTGAGGGAGAGCCGGATCCTCTCCCAGAAGAACGAGAACGAGGTACCGTTTCAGCAACTCCTGTACTGGACAGAATGGTGTAATATCTCAAGCATTCATGATGAAAGTAATCATCTAAAGGCTCATGGATTTACAAAAAGAGAATAAAAATTGTTTGAATATGGAAGGGGCCATGCGCCGTACAAGTGAATTTATGTTAGCATTCTTCTTATTTCCTTTGTGGTTGGGGAGTTGACCCTAGACCTCACAGGGATTAGGCAAGTGCCCTGCCATTGAGCAGCCCCCCAGCTGTTTTAGCCTTCTGTTTATGGGTCAAGCTTTGGGAGCCAGCATAGGGTGGGCCGGGGCATGGGTGGTGTATTGTAAGTAGCATTGTCCAACGGAAGCTTCCACGCTTGTTCTTAAACCTCCTTTCCTCTGGCTCCAGATGTTTAGCACTGTGTTCAGCGGTCGATATATCATCCTTCTGATGGGACTGTTCTCCATCTACACTGGTCTCATCTACAATGATTGTTTTTCCAAGTCTCTGAATATCTTCGGGTCATCATGGAGTGTACGGCCAATGTTCACTCTAGGGAACTGGACGTAAGTTGCAGAAACCAAAAATCAAAGCTAATTCCTTGTATATTCAGCTCTGACTTGTAGGGCAGGCAATAAACTAGCACCCCTGTAGAAGAACTTGAAAACGTCTGTTTCAGAAGGACGTGTTGTCTCCTCTGGTTTATGCTCCAGTTTGTGAGGGGCTCTATGACTTGTTCAGCAAGTATCAAGGATCTGAGCCTACAAATTTATGTAAAAACCTATTTATTTGTTTGTAAATTAAAAGCAAGTTTACCTAAATTACCTCCTTAATTATGTATTAGTGCTTACTTTCTCTTTGTCTTTGATTTCCTTTTGTTCTGGGCTATTAATTCCTCCTTTTTGCACATGTGTGTGTTCAGTTGTGTGGAGATGCATGTGTGTGTGTTTGTTCAGTTGTGTGGAGATTTATGTGCATGTGTGTTTAGTTGTGTGGAGATGCATGTGTGTGTTTGTTCAGTTGTGTGGAGATGTGTGTGTGTGTGTGTGTGTGTGTGTGTGTGTGTATTCAGTTGTGTGGAGATTTATGTGCAGGTGTGTTCAGTTGTGTGGAGATGCATGTGTGTGTGTGTGTGTGTGTGTGTGTGTGTGTGTGTGTGTGTGTGTGTGTGGTTGTGTGGAGATGCCTCTACATGTGTATTTAGTTGTGTCGGAGATGCATGTGTGTGTGTGTTCAGTTGTGTGAAGATGTGTGTGTGTGTTTTCGGTTGGCACTGCTTGTCTTCCTAACTCATCTCTTCCCACAGTGAGACTTCCAGGTCTCCTTCTAAGCCTGGAGCTGCCAGCCAGCTTGTTTGTCTCCACCTCCCCATTTCCCCTAAGGGCTGCTATACCTGCCTGGCTTTTATGCAGGTTCTGGGAGTGCAAAGACCTCATGCTTGCCAGGCAAGCACACTCCCCACACTCCCTGCTGAGCCATCTCCCCAGCCATGATAGCTGTAGTCATTTCTTTTTTTTTTTTTTTGGTTTTTTGAGACAGGGTTT